GTATATATATATGTTTTTTATCCTATGTTTGACCCTCAGCCCTTTCCCCCTCTCCCGTTTACACTATCTCTGCTATAAACAGTTGTCTTTCAGAGGGGTCATTGAAAATGCGATACCTGTGAGTAAAGGGAGAGGGGCCACGAGTCCAAAGTTTTTAACAATAGGGAACATAGATTCCATTCAAGGTTGGATCAAGGGTGGGTTGGGTCAAGGGTGGGTCTCGTGCAGTTCCACAACTGTAGGTGAGTCTCCATGGAATAGAGTTTGAGGAAAGCGGTTCTGGTAAGCAGAGATCACCATCAGTTGATGCGGCACAGCAGCCATCTTGTGATTAGCGGGAATGGTGTTGTGGGGATCTGCAGCGTGACTTATCCTCAGGTATCTGGCTTAAGAATGGTAGAGTAGTTCCTGTTCTTCCCTGAGGTAATGCAGGGCTGGTAACCATCATCTTCTCATTGTCCGTAGGTAGAGAAAATCCTTCTATACAGTATATTTCTCAATTGGTTTAAGACAGTTAAAGATTCTTTCTGTTGCTTATGGTTGTAAGTTCTTAATCCTTGTTTTCGGCTTCAGCTTGCTGGCCTGGAGGCCACACGTTTGCCCCGGGGGGGGAAGGGGCAGGACCCGCAGCTGGTCGCAGCCTAGGCGCGGGGCCCCGGGGGGCCTCGCAGGGCCCGGGAGGGCCCACGCAGGTCCCCTTCATTCAACTCACTTTTAATTTCCCACTTCTCTTCTGTTTATTTCATGTAGTCTCTTAAAGCACCAACCTTAATACAGTGATAATGCTGTATTGTTTAGAAATGCATTGAGTCACAAGTAATCAACTAATATGTGACATCTTATATATGTGAACATTTTTTTATTAATTAATTAATTCACTCAAACTGCTTGAGATGTGTCAATGAAACATTGCATCCTCCCCTTCAATTGCTTACAGTGTATTTTAAAGTTAAAACAAAACAAAAACAAACAAGAACTTGGGAGGCTATTGCCTGAGAATGAATTAAAAGCACAACTGCAGCATTCCACCAAGAGCATCCTGGGTTTAAATATTGTCTTCTTACAGTTTGCTTAGCTTTTCAATTTTCTTCTGGAAAGTGGTTTTGATTATACCTTAAGACATTTAATGAGACAGTTCTTGTAATGTCTTTGGCACATACTATGTGCCAGACTCATACCAACTTCTGTGATGCCAATTATTATTTATTTGATAAAATTTTGAGTCACTGAACTCAAATTACATACCCTTACCACTGTCTTTCTACTTTCTAGGTATGGTGCTCAGTGATGGCAGTCTGCCCAGGGCTCACCTATTTAGGGTCAATTATTCAAAAGAGTCAATCTATTTAATAAGTAAGGTTTAAAAAAATAAATAAAAATCAAGAGGATTAATGCACTGGAATCCATTTTTTTTTGTGGAATTTTAATTATGTGGAAGCTGGATTAAGTAGGTTTTTCCTTCCTTCCTTGCTTCCTTCCTCTTTCCCCTCCCTCTCTCTTTCCTTCCTTTCCTTTTGCCTTCTTTCCTTCTTTTTTACCATGGCATTTCATATTCTGTAACGTGAGTGGGCTGCTTGCTCTTGATCCACTGGTTGTTTTGTACAGCCAGCCCTGCTAGTACAATTCCAGGGACTGAACACAGTAGTGCTCCCAAATGAATAAGGTCGTTATGATTTCCTATCACCTTTAATTGTCTGACTGAAATGCTAGAGAAGTAGCAATCTGCAAAAACAATTGAAAGCAATCAAGTTGCTGAATTTAAAATAATTTCTACTTCAGAGAAATTAAACTTTTCCCCCTCTAACACACACAGAAAAATGAATCAAAATGTTTCTCTCTCTTTTTTTTTTCTCCCTCAATGTATTTTAATGCTCAGTGTACTTACATAATGACTTTTGTTTTCTCAAAGGCAGGTCAAGTGAACCCAACAATTAAATTATATGTTGTAAACCTATATGGACCGACTCATACTTTGGAACTCATGCCACCTGACAGCTTTAAATCAAGGTACGCAATTTCAATTTCACTTTTACGGGGGAACACACATTTTCACTCTAATTATCATTTTGTTGCAATTTAGAGAGAGATGTGATCAGCAACATATCCACTTAAAAATAAAGCTGAGGTTGCCTTCATTAGTGAGGAATGAAATCATCTGGGTGTCTCAGTGTTCCCAAGAAGCGTTTAGTTTCAAGGTGATTAGCAATCCCATAAAATGACTAACAATATTGATACTGAAATTTTTTTTTTTATTAGAGAAACAATGGAGAGATGGGTACAAAGGACAATTTTTCATTTAATTTTCTTGAATAGTCGAAGAAAATAGTTCCCCCTTATTTTTAAATAGGTACTCTTTATTTTTTATATATTTATTTATTAATATTTTTAAGAGAAATTTTTGTTATAGGGCTGTGCACTCTCCAGAGAGACAGAGACACAAAGAGACAGAAAATGATAAATCATCCTCAGGGTGATGGCCAAACCACAATCCCTTCTCCATTCACTTCTTGGGATTTGGGGCATGCATGCATGTGTACCTAGCATGAGCCCCAAGCAACCAGGTCTAGAACTCAAACCACAGTGGACTATGTAAGAGTTCAGCAACATAAAGCTTACACCATCTACTGGTCCCCCTTTTTTTATTTTTTAAAGATTTATTTTGTTTAACTTGACTTATTTATTTTAACTTGACCAAAGTGAGATTGAGAGAGAGAGGAAGTGAAAAAGTAAGTCACCAGGTTCGGGACTCGATCTGCAGTCAGCCATGTGGGAGTCCAGCATCTTTAACCACTACACTGCCTGCTGGACACTGTTGGTCTCTTTTTAAAAAGTTTACATTTTGCCACTATACATCTTTCTGGTATACAACATGGTTTTTCACAGTTTGAGTACTGTGCATATTGGTCAAGTCAAAGTTATTACCATACTTTTTACTTCAGAAGATAATTTTCATTGTTATGTCTATTAAATGTGTTTGTTTTTTTCCCTAATCACCTTCCTACCACCCCCATTACCCACCCCCTTTGACTTCCCCATGCTGTCTCTAATTCTACCTTTGTCCTCACTATTGCATGTCCACGCTCAATATAGGCCAAATGTCTGTGCTTTTTAGGTGCTCTTTAAAAGAGTATAATTTCCCTGAAATTTGTGTACTTTTTCCAACTTTCTCCCCACAGTTTTCTAAGGATTCTTCTACAGGCTATGTTTTGTATCAAACTATACTACATAATGAGATTTTGTTTACTTGGATTTTATTTCAAATATACTATACAAGAAGCCTTTATATCTAAGATGTTTGAGTGAGGAGAAAAGGAACATTTTATATATCAGAAGGGTAAATGTAATATGAGGAAACAGTTCAGTTGTGAACAACTAATTTAATAATAGTGAGTACTTTGAAAACCACAGTGCTCTCAAACTTCAAAGGAGATATTTTTTTTTTTTTTCAAATATTGTGGTGCTATTTTTAAAAATCACAATTTTGAAAATGACTGAGGAAATTGGTTTCCATACTGTCCTGGAAGATATGGTACTAAGCCCAAAGTTCTTTCAGATGATGTCTGTAATCAATACAGGGTGACCAGATCCAGTAGATGAATGGTGTTCCATTGGTGTATTTAAGAAAATATCATCCCAGTTGGGAATTTCTCAAATAGTACAGCCTGATACATGAGAAAAATTTTCCTACTTGAAAAGGTAATACAAAGTCATGGAGTGTTTATACTTGAAAGCCCTCATTAACTACTTAATATATCCTGCTCCTTTTACTAATGGGTTGAAGTCCTGAGACAATAAATGCTTTAGACTGGGGACTCTGGGCTCTCTAGTAGCAAAGGTTGAAAATAAAGTAAGGTCTATCTTCATTAAGCTACAGAACATTTCAATCCACATTGTGATGGAAGATCTTAAAGATCAATGTGAATTGACATATATAATGTGGTAGGGTTCAACAAACTTAATATAAACTTCTATTTCTGAACTTGATCTACCAGTCATAAAAGATTTAGTCACAAATGAAGGAATTATAGGAACTATTGATTTTTTAATGTGGTCCTTAACTCTAATGTTTTTATCTTTCATGTTTAATGCCCTGAATGAACAGAGAAGGGCACTAGAATAGGAGTGTGAGTCACATGTCTACTGCCATTTCATTGAGTCGATTTGGACAAATCACTTTACATCTCTCTAGCCTAAATCCCCTACTCTGGAAATAATAATTTATGATTTTAATCTTTGTAAAGTTATACAAGGGAAATCTATTCTCCTATATTTATTTCCTTTCCTAATAGGAGTTAATGATTCCTGACCTTGTTTTTGTTTTTATTTGTGCAAGTATAACCATATATAAATTGATACCTTCTATATATCTTCCATTAAGTCCAGCAAAGATCCTCCTTATTTTTAGTTTATGTTGTGTTCATAGCATAACTACCTGTTTCATTTGAGATAATGCCTAAACTCTTAATAAGAGATTACCCAAATAATTATATCAATTTACACATTTATTCCTTTTAGATACATTATATTATGAGTCTACTAAATTTTTATGGTCTTCAAATTATTTGTATAATGACAGTCATAACATAATTTTCTGTTTTTCTATGTAAAAATGCATCATGACTTTTCAGATGACCCAATTTATGTGTACAAAGATTATATTGTGAACACAGAGTAGTGACTGGACAGGGAACTAATGAACACACAGGTGTGACTATTAACATACCCTGTCTGCAGATGATGCTGAGGCCTTTGTTCCATGCATCCTTATGAACAATTAGATCTCTTGTGCCAGACCACCCACCCACCTGATAGAAAATCTCTGCTGACTTGAGTGTAATCCCTCTAACCTGCTTGTTTCTGTCTCTGTGGCTCAAGAGGACCAGTTCCTTGAGGACTTCCTTGGAAATCCAGAGCCATGGAGACTAGGAACAAGCAGGAAAGCTAGTTTTAAGAAAGGGAGCCTTCTGCTGGCCACTGGTCATGGGACATCAGATCTAATGGGTTCATGAGATGGAGTTCCAGGAGGACAGCCACATCGGCAGCAGGCAGTCCAAGGTAAGGGCTCTTCCCAAATACTTCTGCAGAGAAAGCCAGAATACTCATGAGCCAACAGAGTTAGTGACTATGAACCTTAGGGAGATGTCCACCAAGGATCTTGGGGCAAAGAAAGAGAAATCAAGAAATAATGCATTCAATGTTTCTTTCCTCTCTGTGGGTCAAGTTTTGCTTTAACTTAGATTTTTCATACTATTTCCAACATTTCAACACAGAAATTTCAATGGTTTGAAATTACCCCTTATAATACTTTACAAATTCATTTTGGGGGAGAACCCCCATTATTCAAATTGTGGTTACCATGTATGATGTCATCCTTGGGTAAAAAGTAAATACTAAGGTATCTCACATCAGATTAAGTTTTGTTAATAAATAAAGATACATTAGGTACAAACACACAAAATAGTCACTGTGCTTAATCAAGAAGAAATAGAGTACAGCTATAATGATTTTTTTTTTACATTTTGCAATAGGATAATTATGATTACCAGAGAAAGAAAGAAAAAGTGAGAAAGCATCCCCTGGTGGGATGGCTATATCACAATCCTTTTTCCATTCCCCTCTCAAGATTTTGGGTATACACACACATGAGCCTGGCAGAGAGTCTGAAACTCAAAGGGCACAATTGGCCATGTGGAAACCAGTTGCCTTAACTGCACTGCCCTTAGCTGACGGCAAATCAATTATTTTTAAATGAACCATTTTGCATGTAAGTTAGTATTATGCCTCCACCAACTGTATGTGACGCAAAGACTCCTCGTTAACTCTAGGGCACATGACGTTATGATTTCACTGCACTTCTAGGCAGTTTTCTAGTGGGGCTCAGCTACTTCTGAAACCTGCCAGATGTCTTAAAGATATTACTAAAGGACAAAGGGCAGGCTTTATCATATGACATGTTTTGCTTGCCCTTCTACTGACATCTACACATCAATGGGGTTAACTGATTTTTTTAAAGAAAGCAGTAGCTACTGAGTCATGTTAGAAATACAAGATTCACATAGCTGGATATCTATTACAGACGTGTCTAAGGACAGGAATTTGTATCACAAGATTTTTCTTCTTTGGGTGGTTTTTTAAGTTACATAAAAGCTGAGTTCATTTGTCTTCTTAAAAAAATAAGTTACCCACTGGATTTTGTTATTCAAATGTCAATTCTTTTTCAAAAGTTGAGATTTGCCCTCATTAAGTACTAAATATCATGTGTCAGAATCTATGACAACACTGGGATGATCTTGCAATGTTTCACTTAAAGACTTCTTAGAAAAACTGCTTAAGATGAGTATTTTAATTCTGTCTGTTGTAATTTATTTAAAAAATTAGTCATGTTAGTTTGTCATCTGATTTTACATAAAATGTAGTAGTATTCACTTTAACAAAGTGAGACAAATTTCTGACTGAGTTTGAAAATCAATTATTATATATACTAGTACTTTTTAGATTTATTTTTTCCGAAATACGATTTTGTGGGGACCAGCAGGCGGCATGGTGGTTAAGACACTGGACACTCCCACATGGCCAACCATGGATTGAGTCCCAGACCTGGTAGCTTGCTTTTTCACTTTCTCTCTCTCTCTCTCTGTCTTCTCTCTCTCTGGTCAAATTAAAATAAATGAACGAATAAATAAAAAAATAAATAAATAATTCTTTAAAAAATATGATTTTATAGTATTTTGTTAGTTGTTTACAATAGTCAATTAATATTTTATTTCAATTTTACCAACATCTGTACAAATTATTAAAAAATATTATATATAGTAATAATTCAGTATTTCTTTTTTTTGTTTAACTAATTCCATTTGTGTTTTTCATTATTTTTATTTATATTTAATCACTATATATCTTTACAGCATACAACATAGCTTTTCCCAGCATGAATACAGGGTATATTAGTCAAACCAAAGACATTATCATGCACATTATCATCACTAGATAAATATTCAGTTTTGTGTCTATTAAATGTTGTTTGTTCTGTCCCTGATCTCCTCTCTCTAATTCCCCTCCTGTACTGTCTCTAACATCTACAATTGCCCTGCTATTATACCTTCCCATCTTTCAGTTTCTGCTATAGAGCACAGACATTCGGTATGTATTGAGCAGGGACATATAATGCCTGTTCTCAGTCTGGTTTGCTTTCACTAAGCATTAAGTCTTTAGTATTCATCCACTTTGTAACAAATTTCAGGGTTTCATTTTTTTTATGGCTGAGTAGTATTCCATACAGTACATGCCAGTACTTATTTTTTCTAATTGTTTATAGTATAAATTATCCTTTCCCTCCAAGCTGAATATTCCAGATAAGTCTATTATATTAAAAGATAATACCTATATTTCAGCTTTTTACATTCACATTGCTATAGATGATCATGTATGTAAATGATAACCTTAAATAAGAAATAGCGAAAGGGAACAGAACATTGTTCTTTGCACAATCACAGGCCCATCAATATGATCAAAGATTATACCTCCACCAACTGTATTTGATGCAAAGACTCCTTGTTAACTCTAGGGCACATCATGTTACAATTTCACTGCTCTTCGAGACAATTTTCCAATGGGGCTCAGCTACTTCTGAAACCTGCCAGGTGTCTTAAAGATATTATGGAGGAAAAAAAGGCAGGCTTTATCATATGGCAAGTTATGTTTGCCCTTACTGACATCTTCACATCGATGGGCCAACTGATTTTCTAAAGAAAGCAGGAGCTACTGAGTCATGTTGGAAATACAAGATTTATATAGCTGGATATCTATTACAGATGTGTCTAAGGACAGGAATTTGTATCACAAGATTTTTCTTCTCTAGGTGGTTTTCTAAGTTACATAAAAGCTGAGTTCATTCATTTTTTAAATTAATGTATTCATTTATTTATTTTGAGAGATATTTTTGCTATAGGGCACATGAGCTCACCAAAGAGACTGAGAGACAGAAAGTATGAAATCACCTGCTGGGGAAATGGCCACAACACAATCTGTTCTCCTCTTTTTTCTCAGATTTTTTGGCATGCAAGCACACATGCCCAGTGTAAGTTTCAAGCCACTGGGTCCAAGGATTCAAAACATGGTCAACTACATGAGAGTCCAGTACTTTAGCCACTATACCACCTGCTGGCCCCTTGAATTCAGTAGTTTCGTTTTGTTTTGTTTGTTGTCTGTTTGTTTTGAGAGGTTTTTGCTATAGGGCACAAGTGCTCCCCAGAAAGACAGAAAGGGAGAAATTACTCCTCATGGGGGATGGCCACGCCACAATCCCTTTCCTCCATTATCTTCTTGAGACTTTGGGCACGCACACACAGACGCCTCATGTGAATTTAAGCCACTGGGTCCGGGACTTGAACCATAGTCAACTACATGGGAGTCTAGCAACATAGCCATAACGCTAACTGCTGGTCCCAAGTTCAGTAGTTTTAATATAACAGGTGTAGATGGCACTTTTCAAGCCATTTCTACAGTAACTCATCTTTTCTGAAACTGGAAAGGTTTATAGAAAAGTTTTTTTCTTTTCTTCTTACCATAAATTGAATAATTTTGTTCAATATGTTTTGTTGTGTGTGGTGGATGGGAGTTTTGTGATGTATTATTTTAATTCCCCAGAATAGAATCTCCATTGCTTCATATAGCAAAATACATAAACTTTTCTCAATCTCTAACCACTCTTAAGGTTATCATTGGACCCCTGATTAGTTTCCTTACTGGAGCAAAGGATTACTACCTCCTTATTGCCTTTAGCTTGATTCCTTCTTTGTTTTAAAATCTTTCAAATAAATAAGAAAACTAACAATACTGTGAAAAGATTATGAATAGATGTTTGGGACTGCTTCTTATTCACAACTGACAAACAAACCAAGCATTCCTCTGTAGCTAAAGTTCCCATGAATAAAGTGAAATAACATGGATATCATGCATAAGACATAATTATTTATTTTATTTTTTTTGGGGGGGAGAGGCTTTTGCTATAGGGCGTGCGCACTCGCCAGACAGACAGAGAGGGACAGAGAGAAAGTGAGAAATCACCCCCCAGGGGGGATGGCCACTCTGCAATCCCTTCTCCTCCATTCTCCTCTCGGGATCTTGGGCACGCACGCACACGCGCCCAGCGTGAGTTTAAGCCACGGGGTCCAGAACTCAAACCGAGGTCGACTACATGGGAGTCCAGTGACATAGCCATTGTTATGTTAACTGCTTGTCCCAAGACATAATTATTATTAAAGGAAAAGTAAGCTTTGCCTCTTAGATGGCTATTGAATATATTTTTAAAGAAATAAAATGCAATACAACTTTAAAAATGTATACTTGCCTTGCCCATATCAATAGAAATTTATGCTAATCAATAACAATTTTTCATATATATTATAATCTGATTGAAAATTTTTTCAAGAATTAGATTTCTGGAAAATTATTCACTCACAAATTTAAGCTCAAATTTTCTGTATGTTTGTATATGTGGTGTGTGTATATATACATACACTTTTTATATATGAGAAGACTATTGGAGAGACCAATTGTGTGTCTGTGTGTGTGCATATATATACATATGTATATGGAAATTATAATGTATATAGATTCTTACACATAAAATTACAAATGTATATTACCGGTATTATTTAGATTTTCTGCTCTAAACTCAAATGTTCCATTTTTGTTTCCCAACTAGAGAATACTATATCACTATGGTTAAATGGGTAAGCAATACGAAGACAGTGGTGAGATGGCTAAACCGACCTCAGAACATCTCCGTCCTGACAGTCTGTGAGACCACTACCGGTGCTTGCAGTAGAGTGAGTATACTTACTTTACTTTTATGTGTAAAATAAAGAAGTTTTGCTTGCCAACATAGGAAAATAAGAAAATCCTTCAATATTTCATTTCCAAAGGTAGCAGGAAAAGAAAAAAACTCATCTACAGCAGATACTTTAATCCATACAGCTTCCAAATTTGGAGTAAGCAATGTCCACAATAGCAGAGGAAAACAAAACTGAGCTTTTAAGAAATAAATGAATTTTTGTAAGATAAAAAGGCCACATGAGTTTTCTTCTGAGCATGAGATTTCTCTCTCTGTTTTGTCTTTAATGACTTAAGAATACGAGACATTTCTTTAGGCTTCAACAAACTTTTATTTTTTATCTTTAGTTAATGTGAGTCTTATACAACAACAGTGTCTTTTTCTTTAGATTAAGTAAAAATACTAAAACAATATGGTTCTTGAATCACTCTGATTTGAAAGTTTATATTCCAATTATTGAAATAAGTTTTCACAAACTTTGGAGTACTTTCAGTATGTGTCACATTTTTAAATTGTTGGTAGATGAAATCAGTTTAAATTGTCATACTATCTGCTTTGTACTTGGGTAAAAGATTCCCAAACTATTTAACAACTGAGTTTTTAAGTATTGTTTCTGAAAAATAAATAAATATAATTAGACTGGCTTTTTTTGCTGTAAAAAACTATAAAACTGTACAAAAACAATATACAATGGATTTCAGGTATATAGGAGTATGAGGATCATAAGTACTAAAATAAATCTTGTTATGACTTTCTGTTGATCACACTTTTGAGAAACAGGGCAAGAAGATGCAATTCAAGGAAAACACAATGGTGTCGCTGTCCTAATGAGGCAAGGGGAATAAGAGTTTGAGAGTCTTGTGGTGACCGAATTTACAAGACAGGTAACACAGAAGTTGGAGGTATCTAAAAAGACCCTCAGAAATCTATGTAGAAGATTCCATAAGTCTTTGGCTCAATGCTTAGCTGTGCATACATGTAACATGGCTGCACATTCTCTTAAACAAAACAACTTCCAGAAATATTTGAGGCAAATGGAGAGTCTATAGCTAGTACAGTGTTAGCGACATTCGAATTTTGAACAGCAAAATTAGAAATATCTTATTGAAAACTGTGCATTTTACTCAGAACCAAGAATATAAAGTATCTTGAGAATAGGGCTATTTGGGGCTGGCAGGTGGCATGCTAGTTAAGGTGCTAGGCTCCCATATAGCCAAACATGGTTCAAGTCCTAGACCTGGTGGCTTGCTTTCGTACTTCTCCCCTCACTGTCTGTCTCTCTCCTGTCAAATTAAAATAAATAAGTAGAGGAATCAGAAGGTGGCATAGTGGTTAATGTTCTGGACTACCAAATGGTCAACGTAGTTCCAGTTCCAGTCCTAGTGGTTTAAAACTCATGCCCAGTACATATGCATATGTGCCCCAAATCCCAAGAGGACAATGGAGGAGAAAGGATTGAGGCCTGTCAGTCCCTATGGGGGGCAGGGGTAAGGGGAGGACTTCTTACCTTCTCTCTCTCTCTCACTGTCCCTCAGACAAGTGCACACACCCTACCGCAAAAATCTCTCTTACAAAATGTGTGTGGGGTCAACAGATGGCATGGTGATTGGGGGTGCTGGACTCCCACATAGTAGACTGTGTTTTGAGTCCTGAACATGGTAGCTTGCTTTGTCACTTTCCCTTTCTGTCTCTCTCTCTCGCTCTCTCACTCTGTCCCTCTCTAGTCAAATTAATATAAATAAAGTTATTTAAAAGTAATTATTTTTAAAAAGTGTGTATATGTGTGTGTGTATATATAATATAATTTCTTTTTTAATTTAAGGAAAACAAAAAGAATAGGGCTCTTCTAGGCCCTTCTGATACACCTTTAAATGATACCTTGAAGGAATTGATTTTATCTGCTTGGAAATCAACTGGTACCTTTTTAAAAGAAAAATTGTGTTTTATAAAATGACTTTCAACAATGTAATATTTACAGTATTAATCACCTAATTAAAACATACTCTGTATATAGAGAAGTGGGAAATAGAATGCACTCGCCTCCTTCAAAAATAGTCAATATCTTTGTTACAAAGGATAGCAATATTGGAATTAGTGGACACAGAGTTTTTGAAAGACTTACTGGAGAGATATTTAACAGCTTACAAAAAGGAATGGCCCTAAGAAACAGATGTCAAGTCTGATTAGAGAAATATAAACTTTAAAAACAAAAATGTAGATTTTTTTTTTTTTTAGAGATTTTGCCTTAGGGCATATGCACTTGCTGGAGAGAGAGACAGTGAGAGGAAAAGTGAGAAATCACCTCCCACCCCCAGAGATGGACATACCACAATCCCTTCTGGCATGAGTTTCAAGCCATCACCTCAGGGACTCAAAACCATGGTTGGCCATGTGGGAGTTTAGTAACATAACCACTATGCCATCTTCTTACTCCTTTGTAATGTTAACTTTATTTCCTGAAGTTTATCCACTTCATTTATTAGTTCTAATAGTTTTTGGATGGAAACCTTTAGCATGTCCTTTCTTCTTTCATTGTTTCTTTCATTTTTTAAAGGTTTTTGCCTTATGGTGTGTGCGCTCACTGGAGAAAGAGAGACAGAGAGACAGTGAGAGGGAAAGTGAGAAATCACATCCCCTCCCCCCCTCCCCCAAGGAGGATGGCCATGCCCCAATCCCTTCTTCTCTATTCTCCTTTGGGGATCTTGGGCATGCACACATGTGCACCCAGCATGAGTTTCAAGCCATCACATCCACGACTGAAACCATGGTCAGCCATGTAAGAGTCCAGCAATGACCATGTACTGACCCCAAATGTAGAATTTTTTTAATTGAAAAATATGGTGTACGAAATGAAAACTTGACTGAATGGGCTTAATAACTGACACTGTTGCTGTTAGGGATATTGAAAGTTAAATACTCAAGCCCTGAAGAAAAAAATGAATAAACCTTCATTACCTGTAGAACAGTACAAACTGACATACACATAAAATTAACTACATAGAAGGTAGTGTTTAAGATATTGGGATAGAAAAACATCAGAAATAATGACTTAACCTTTTCCAAATTGGATGAATATATATTAATCCACATATCCAAGAAGTCAGAAAATCCCAAGTAAGACAAAACAAAGCAAAACAGAACCAAACACCTCAACAAATACTCAAATTGTTGCAAATCAAAGATAGGGAGAAAAACATTTAAAGTAGCCTGAGAGAAATACATATCGCATACAGAGGTTATATAATGATGAGAATACTCATATCTCATAGAAACAATATAAACCACAAAGTAATGGGAGACCAGTAGATGGCATAATGATTGCATCACTGGACTCCTGCATCATTGACCATGGTTCAAGTCCTGGACCCGGTGGCTTTAACTACATTCCAGGTGTATGACCAAGATCCCGAGAGGAGAATGGAGGAGAATGGATTGCAGCATGGCCAGTCCCCTGGGGGATGATTTCTCACTGTTGGTCTTCCTGTCCCTCTCTGTCTTTCCAGTGAGTGCACATGCCTTATAACAAAAATCTCTCTCTCTTAAAACAAACAAATAAACAAAACTAATGAAATAACATTTGTAAGGATAGAAAGGAAAACAATATCAAATAGTGGTCTGTATTATGTAAAAATATCTTTCAAAAAGGAAGCCATTTTTGGATAAATAAGAACTGTGATAATTGATCACAAGTAGATCTGCACTAGGCTGAAAGAAATAAAATAAAAGCCCAGATCTCAATGAAAAAATGAAAGGTGCTATAAATGATAGGTATGTGAGTAAATATAAAAGTCTCTAGTTTTTAATTTTTGTAAAAGGTGACTGATTACTTTAGCAAATTAAAACACTGTATATCAGGGTTATTGCAGAGATTAATGGAGCCTTTTATAATGACACTGAGTGGATTCATTAGAAAGACATTACAATTGTAAATACCTATACACTTAATGACAAAACTTCAAGCTATTTAAGCAAAGTTTACAAGCCTAAACTAACAAAACTGAAAAGGAAATAGAAACTATTATACTTGAAGATTTTAGTTTTCCTTCATACATATTTGATAGAATTAGTACTATAAACAAAGAAAATCAGTAATGATATAGAAGATTTGAAAAATACTTTCAACAACTTAACCAAGTCCATATTTAGAAAACATGTAATCTAATAATAGTAAAGGAAACAACTTTTTCAAGTGCTAAAGAAATATTTAGAAGTCTCAAATTTCAAGGAACTGAAGTCAAATAGATTTTTTTATAAGAATGGGATTAAAATAGAAATAGTTGGTAATCACCAGATATTTGAAAAATCTCAAATACAACACACTCCTAAAAAAATTATGGCTTAAATAATGAATTGCAAGGGAAACTAAAAAATGTATTTTAACCTCAGGCATAATGAAAATAGTCAAAATATGTAGATTAATCAAAGTGATACTTAAAATGTAGTTTATTTTTCAGTGGCTATCAATGGAAGACACATCAAAAACATGTGATGTAGATATACAATGGAATACCATTCAACCATAAAAATAAAAGAAATTCTTCCAGTTGCAACAACTCAAATGAGTCTAGAGAACATTGTGGTAAATGAAATAAGGCAAACACAGACAGTACGGGATGAGTTCACTTATATATAGAACCTAAAATAGTAAGAATCTTAGAAATAGAGTAGAAACATGGCTACCAGAAGGTTGGGACAGAGGTAGTAAGATGTTGGCCCAAGGGTACAAAGCTCACATTAGGTAGGAGAAATGTTTCCAAACCTATTGTAGAACATGCTGACTATAGTTAATCATAGTATGGACTATGTTTCGAAAGTGCTGAGTGGATATTATCTTTGCATGACAAAAGAAATAAGAAGTAGGCACTATGATAGAAGTCTTAAGATATCTTAAGATTTAGGATCAGCAGATGGCATAGCAGTTATGTCACCAGACTCTCACATGGCCCACCGTGGTGCAAGTCCCAGGATTGAAAATCACATGAATCATACGTACGCGTGTGCTCAAGATATCAGGAAAAGAATGGAGGAAAAGGATTGCCATTTGACCATCCCCTCTGGGGAGTGATAACTCACTTTCCCTCTCACTGTCTCTGTCTCTCTTTTCCTTAGTTGGGCACACATGCTCGAAGGCAAAACATCTTAGGAGAAAAGAAGATATGTTAAGATTTAATCATTTCATAGTGAATACATATATTAAAACAGCATATTTTTCACTATAAATACATGCAATTATTTTTCCATTAAAAATAAAGAAAATTAAAAGGTATAAAATTAATTATAAGCTCCAACTTTAAGAAGCCAAGGAGAAAAAATACAAATTCAACCCAAAATAATAAGGAGTACAATAATAATAATAATAATAAAATTAATAAAACAGAAAACAAACTCTAGAAAAAAATCATAAAAGTCATTTTAAAAAGATTAATAAAACTAATAAATCTTAAACTGATTTTTTTAAAACACAAAAATTATAAATATCAAGAATAAAATTTAGTCAGCCTGTGTCCTGGTGGTAAAAGCAGCTGGATCCAACAGAACTGACTCACAGTTCAAGTCCTAGATCAGTCAACTTAAAAAACACACCAGGCATGTTTGCCACCATTCCCCAAGAACAGAAAAAAGAAAAAAATTGAGGATAAGAGATTGCAGCCTGACTACACCCCATGAGAGATTCTTTTTCACTCCCCGCCCCGGTCTGTTTTCAATTAACACAAACACCCTCTGTCAAGTTAAAAAATAAAATAAAATGAAAGGAATAACAATGAAGTCTATAAATAGTAAAAAGATAATAAGAGAGTGGTATGCCAATAATTTCTCAATAAGATGTGTCATGTACAAATTTTTGAAAGACATGAATCTCAAACATGAGTGTTTAAAGAGGCACAACATTTGAATAACTTATAAAAACTAAAGAAATTTTATTCAAAACTGGAAACCTTTCTATAAAAAAAGTTTAAGGACTACATGATTTCTATCAAATATTTAGCAAATAAATGCCATAATTCTTGACTTTGTCCCTTTTGTTCTGTAATGACAAAATACCACACACTGAAAAGTTTGTGTGTGAGAGAGATTTTTGTTATCTAGCATGTGCCCTAACCAGAGAGATGGAGAGAGAGAAGGTGAGCAGTCACACACACACCTCATTCCCCCAGAGGGAGACAGAGAAGGTGAGCAGTCACACAGGTCCCCCGGCCCCATCTGCCCCACCCCCGCAGAGAGATAGCCACACTCCAATCCTTTTTCCTCCATTCTCCTCTCAAGATTTTGAGCACACCAGGTCCAGGACTTGAACTGCAGTTGAAATGAGGGAGTCCATTTCCTTAACTACGATCCACTGGCTGGCCCCATATACTGAGGAATTTTAAGTGAACAAAAATATGTTAAGTTATGATCCGTGTGAGATCAATATGCCAGCATCTGACATGAGTCCTTTTGCTGCATCATACCATTGTGGAGTGTTAAGATAGGGCCTGAGAGGCAATAGGACCATATCCGGCTTTTATAAGGAACTTGCTCTCATGATATGAATCTGCTCTTGAAATAATGAACCCACTTCCACAATAAAGACATTAATCCATTTACAGGAGCTGAGCTCCCATGGCCCAATCACCTGTTGGATGTCTCATCTTTAATACTGTTATGATGAAAATTAAATTTTAACATGAATTTGATCAGGAGCAAACATTCAAACCAGAGTATTCTCACATAGGAATAAATAAAGTTCTCCTATACTCTCAAGCAAAAGGAGAAAAAATATTTTAAACTGATACCTCTCATGAGCACATATTAAAAAATTCTTAAACATGCTAATACTTGACTCAGGCAGTGTAAATTTAGTGTACCACAAATTAAAAGGGATCATCCCAGGAATATAAGATTGATTTAACATTAAATGACAATTAATGTAATTTATTATATTAAGAAAAAAAATGAAGACAAGTAATTAAATATTTTAATAGATAAAAATGAGACACTGACAGTAAACACCTCTTCATGATAACTTTCAACTTCAATGAATACGAAGGGACATCACAATCTGATAAACTTGGCCCATAAAATACCTTCACACTCAATGGTGAAACACTGACCTAATTTATATTAAGACTACTAGTGATATGAAGGTATTCATTCTAATTGCTATTACCCTAACATTACAAGAAGCTATCTTTCTCTCTCTGGTGAGTGTGCAAGCCTTATATTAAATTAAAAAATGATAATGACAATAATAAATAAAATTAAATAAATAATTCTAAAAAAGAAATTGGAAACTTCTCACCAAAGGCACCACTGAGAAAATGGATAAAAAACCCCACAAACTAGGGGAAACTCATTGCAAAAATGTGTATCTGACAAAGAAATATATAAAGAAATTTTATATCTCAATAAGAAAAAGAAAATTTGATAGAAAACATTAAAACATGTGAACAAACATTTATAAGGAACATAAGTAACATATGGAAAATATTCAGTATCATTATACTTTAGGGAAATAAACATTAAAATCATAATGAGATAACACTATATACAATTATGATGACTAAATTAAAACCACTCCTACAAGAAGGGTAATAATATTGACTATTTCTTAAAAATAATTATTTATTTATTATTATTTTTAAATGTACTATAAGACAAGTATACTCACCAGAGAGAAACAGAGAGAGAGAGAGAGAGGAAGAGAGGGAAAGTGAGGAAGCTAGTCAGTAGATCAAGGACTCAAATGACAGTAGGCTATGTGGGAGTCCAGTGCTTTAAACACTAAGCCACCTGCTGGCACCTTGGTAATATTAACTATTGTTAAGGATTGGGAGAACTACAGTTCTCATCCTTTGCATGCAGGAATGGAAATGACACAATTACTGTTAAAAAGTGATTTTTCAGTTTCAAATAAAATTAAACACATTGATAAACAGTGTCTGTATAATAAATTACATGATGCAAATACATAAACTCGAAAATTTCATTTTTGGTATTTGCATGAAAAATAAAGCATGTTCACCAAAGAATTCATTAAACAATGTTTATAGATGTTCTACTCATAATTATAAACTAAAATGGATTAAAAAACATATTCTATACAATGGAATTCTACTCAGCAATTTAAAAGGAAACAGAATACTACACATGCAACAGTATGAGCGAATATCAAAAACGTAGTGTGAAACTTCACACTAAAGTATATAATCTGTACATAATAATGATTTCAATGATCCATATTTATAAAATAGACAAAACTAATAATCCATGAGGAAGGACATCCCAGGAATGATTGTCTTTCTATAACCTCTGGGAAGGGGTATGAGAGATTGTTTTCAAGATCTATAAAGTTCTTATACACATGAGATTTGTACATTTTACTGTATGTGAATATTTTTTTAAATATTCTTTGAATAACTTGTAAAAGAAAGAAATAGAGGGAGAAGTTTTTCTTAAAATGGATAATGAGCACAGATGTGGAAATGAGATAGTTGAATTAATCATTTACTTACTGGGTTTGATCGATGCTCTTCACATTAAGCTTATTAGAAAATTTATCTTAGTCGCCTTCTTCCATCTGGCTAGTTTATAGACTGACTAGAATTAAAAAAAAATTATTTAGCTAATTATTAAGTCATTTAAAAATTGACCTACATATGTTCTACTTAATTAGAGAAAGCCTATTACTTTCTTCATATAATGATAATCTAAATATTTTCATTACATGTAGGTAACTGCAGGCTACATTAAAATGCTTCACTAGAAAATAGATGTAAGAATCCTAGCATATTATTGAGGTAATAGCTTATCAGTAGTCAATTATTTCTATTCATTTGTAGGGTGCAAAATAATTTATTTTATGCTTATTGGAATAATAATACAAATGAAGTTGTGGATTTTCCTGGTTTCTCACAAAACTGGGCAATACTAAGAAGTGGCATCAGCTCTTTTTAATGTCTATGCTGTGCAGATATTGAGAATGATGATTGCTGAGGTGCTGACTGAGAGTCAAGAAATAATTTAGCTAGATGTTTTCTTGGTGTCTATATGTATTGAGGATCTATTAAAAAAAGGCCTAAAAAAGAAAAGTTGTCAATTATAACATAATGACAATATGGATTTAGAAAAGGAAAGTGGTTTGAAAACTTGTAAATTAACTGGACATAGGAACATCCCCAATATATTACTTCTCAACTTTCTTAGTTTGAATGCCTTTATTACAGAATCTTTTTATCTTTCATAAAGCTACAATATGTATTGTCATTACATATAAACAATGTTATTAAACCTTAGTTTATCCATGCATATTTAACTTGAGATTCAAGTAGTCTAATTTTGCTTTTTTCAATGTGATTTTGGTTGTGATTCTTTGCAAGACTGTTTTAAAGAACCATATAACCTTGTCATTATAAAGGTTTGATTTTCCCCCCTAAGACTGAAGCACTACTGATAAGAAAAAATGACTATGATTAAGAGTTGATTGAATATTGAAAGAATGTCCACTTTTTAATTTTATTCCTGGCTCTTTGCCCAGTTCTTTTGAAGGACTTAATAATTTCGTTTCCCGATGATGCCTAGAGGTGAAAAGAGACAGTGTCTGGTGGTTCAGAACAGTTTGAATGAGGTAATCAAACAGAGCTGGAAAATGATCTTCTATCCCCAGTGACATACTACTGAGAATTCTGAAGGAGTTCACCAAAGAAAAGACTTCATAATTAAATTATCATTTAATCCCAATTCTCTACTTATTCATTCAATTTAAATCAATAATGACAATGGGATTTCTCATGATATTTCACTGGTGGGAGAAAGAGAACAAAATGCCTAAAGATACAGTGTTTAAAAAAAAGTTAAAGTGATAATATGTTATGTCTTTAGATGCTTCATGAAACTAATTTTTTCGTTTCAGAAATACGAGATGACGTCAGATACATGGCTCTCTAAACAGGTACAGTGGTCTCTGTCACATGTTAGCCTTTGTGAACATTGTATTCGCCAATTCTTTTAAAGAACTCAAACCATATTTATTCCTTTTTTATTGGAAAAATGAAAGCATGATTTCTTATAATTTTTCATATAGCACATTTGACAATGCCACATTTTATTTTGTTTGATTTTATATGTTGTATGACAACAAATTTTGAGGTGTCCAATAGTGAAATTTATTACAATGTTGAGTCTTCAATCTTTAAACTAATGCAATATTCTGATATTACTCAATTCTCTGTTCTTTTTTTCTCTGTTGTTGTTAATGTGATATCTTCTCCTAAAAAGTTATTTCAGTAACATGACTTTTAGTTTTTCCTAAGTTTGATGAAGCAATTCCTGTCCATTAAAATATCCATGACTTGAGCTTTTTCTTAAGTTTTTTTTTTTTTTCCCATAGGTCATGTGTGCTCACTGAAGAGAGACAGAGCGACTGTGAGAGGAAAAGTAAGAGGTCACATTCCAGTGGGGGATGACCATACTACAATCCCCTCTTCTCCATTATTCTCCTGGTATTTTGGGCATGTGCCTAGTGTGATTTTCAAGCTGCTGGTTCAGGGACTCAAACCTTAGTCAGTCATGTGGGAGTTGATCACCCTAAACATCATGCCATCCAGTGGCCCCGAGTTTTCTATGATATCATTTGTGAAAAGTGTTACTTCTGCTTTTTATAAAATTGTTTTTATAAATTGTCCAATAGCAGGATTCATTTTTCAGGATCATCCATATAAGTAAACTTTTGTGTAGATAAAGAAGAAAATGCTGCAACTCAGTGAAACTAGAAACCAAGGAGCTTTATTAAAATTTCTCTGAAAATTGACCAACCATTCACATAAATTGGCCATGTGGAAATTATTCAAACAAGTACTTTTTTTCTTAGATGTTTCTTAATTTACAAAACTAGTTTGTGATACAAATGAGGCTGAGGTTGAGAAGACCGTAATAGTATAAAAGTAAATGTCTTCCCAACAATGGCCTCATACCGAATAATTCAGAATGAGACACAAATAGATCACACAATAAAATCTTATTTCATTTTATCATAGGAATAAATGACATAACTATCTATTAAAACCATGAATTTAATAGTCATCCTTGAAGCTCTCCTTTTTTTTTTTTTCCGTAAGAGAGATTTTTGCTAGAGGGCTCGGGTGCTCACTGAAGAGATAGAGAGAGGCCACATTGCAATCTTTTCTTCTCTATTCTCTTCTTGGGATATGGGGCATGAACACACACGTCAGGTCTGAGTTTTAAGCTGCTGAGTCCTGGACTTGAATCACAGTTGACTATGTGGGAGTCTAGCAACATAATCATTATGTTATCTGCTGGTCCCAAAACTTCTCTTCATTTTTAGTTACACAAATAATTTATTCCCAAATTCTTTGGTTTTACTTTTAAAGACCTCTCAAGTCACTTTATTTTTCCCCATTTTATAAACACCATCTAGTTTCAAAGTACAGGTATCATAGTTGCTCCTGAACTGGGGAATTCTCAACCTTTCAGGCACTGACAATCTGTTCTCCACACTGTAATTGACTACTGTGTGACCTTTTTGAACTTAGCATCACCCTCAACTCTAAAACAGATGTTGTTTCATCCTTGCATCCTTTTGATAAATCCTTAAATAGTCTCGAAGCTTTAAAGGGAAAGCTTTTCCAGTTATATGTCATATCATTCTTCGACCTTTTTTCTCCATTTTAGTAACGTTAATCTCAATATGCAAAGGGTCTTCATGTGTCTTTCTTAACTAAATTCTCTTAATTACTTTCCTATTTAAAATGTTTATTCATTTTTCAAATCTTAAATTACTTAAGAAGTCACATCTTTCAACTGTTCTAACCAAGGCACACTCTT